AAATTTTTGATTGCTTTCATTTATTTAGTGTTAATTTGTCCAGCAGGACACTACTTAGGTACACACATCAAATTAAAATAGTCAATTTTGACGCTCAGTTACGAAAGCAAAACAATCAATTTAGATAAATGGAATAAGAAAGGTGAACAATTACACACGGTTGTCAGATTTATCTTGAACAATTGTTAAGTTTTTTTGTAACATTATGAAACGAAGAAAACTAGTGACCAAGACATGATACTTCCAAAATTATTTTGAGAAATGAAAATGCAATTAGTTTCATGTAAGTAGGTGCTCAATACTAAATGTGAATTAAAATATGGACAAATATCTGAAAGAAAGATTTAACATTTTGGTCTCAGGATTTTTAAAATTAATTGTTACTGTTCGACTCGTAGATCAATGTCGTATGAAAAAAGAATAAAAAGAGTGCGTCGACCCAGGGATGCAAGGATGGAGTTTTAACTCTGTGTTGTCAGTTTATATAGATTGAATACGTGTACGGGGCGAAGTCATTAATTTTTTCTTAAAAAAATGGTGTAAAGTTGTTTCGACAGAACTTCCCCCGCATCTCCACAATTTACAATATGAAATATAACGATTTTGTAGAATTTCAATATTCACCACCATTTGCACCAGTTATTTTCGTCTTCATTTTCTGCTCCTCTGTGTTCAGTTTAGATTTCGGTCAGGTGGCAGCAACATCGGAGCTCCGTTTTGGCTTAAAAGTGGCACGTGTTCGCGAATTTCTAATTTATTGTTAACAAATATCAGTGAAAATGTGTTGCGTTAGTGCTGTGGACACGAACGAAATAATTTTCCGAAAAGTCCGGAGAACTGTGAGTACGATTTCAGTTTCATTTTCTTTGGTTTCTGTGATTCGTTCACTCGACAATGTTTAAATTTTGGGGAAATTTTCAAAACGATTGAAGTTGGCGGTCAACGCTATAAATTTTCACGATATAATTAAATAATATTTAAACGTATTTAATATTATTTATAATGTTTAATTATGATAAATATTAATATGTGATAATTAAACCGGAAACCGTTTTAGTAAAAACACGAAGTTATTAAAAATAAATCAATTTGTTTAAATATTGTTAAATTAACCCGGAAAATCTGCAATTTCTCGGACAAAGTATGAAAAATAGTTTTTGCAATCTCATCCTCACGTACGATGACGTCATTGTCACGTGAGCTACCTGAGCAAAGGTCACATTTTTCGGTCCTCTGTGTTTAGTTTTGATTTCGGTTTGATGGCGGCAAGATCAGCGTTTAGGCTTAAATGTAGACTTCTTTTCTCGAATTTCTAATTTATTATTAATAAATATTAGTGAAAATGTGTTGTATTAGTACTGTGAACACGAACAAAAACAGATATTTTTCCGAAAAGGACCAAAAACTGGGTAAGTAAGACTTCAGTTTTAATTTATCAGGTTCCTTGATTCGTTTACTCGACAATGTTTAAATTTTGAAGAAAATAATTAAATAAAATTTAGACATAATTAATATTATTTATAATGTTCACATATGGTAAGCAATAATATGTGATAATTAAACTGAAAACCGTTTTACTAAAAACTATTGTATTAAAGACAAATCAATTCGTTTAAATATTGTTAAGTTAACCCTGAAAATGTCTAATTTCCCGGCCAAAATATGAAAAATATTTTTTGCAATCTCATCGTGATGTACGATGACGTCACAATCACGTGAGCTACCTGTCCAAAGTTCACGTTTTTCGATCCTTTGTGTTCAGTATTAATTTCTGTTTGATAGCGGCAAGATCGTCGCGTCCTTTTGGCGTAAAAGTAGAGCGCTTTCGTGAATTTCTAATTTATTATTAATAAACATTAGGGAAAATATGTCGTCTTAGTGTTGTGAACTCGAGAAAAAATTGATATTTTTCCGAAAAGGACCGAAAACAGGGTAAGCACGACTTCAGTTTTAATTTATCAGGTTCCGTGATTCGTTTACTCGACAAAGTTTAAATTTTGGGGAAATTTTCCAAAGAATTGAGGTTGGTTGGTCAAAGCTATACATTTTCGCGATACAGTTAAATAATATTTAAACATCATTAATATTATTTATAACGTTTAAATATGGTAAGTATTAATATATGTTAATTAAACTTAAAGCCGTTTTCCTAAAAACACGAAGTTATTAAAACAAATCACTTTGTTTAAACATTGTTAAACTAACCCCGAAAATATGCAATTTCGCGGTCAAAATATGAAAAATAATTTTTGCAATCTCACTGTGACGTACGATCACCTCACCGTCACGTGAGCTACCTGAGCAAAGGTCACATTTTTCGGCCCTTTATGTTCAGTTTAGATTTCGATCTGATGGCAGCAACATCGGAGCTCCGGTTAGGCTTAAAAGTAGGGCTCTTTTCGCGAATTTATAATTTATTATTGATAAATATTAGTGACAACGTGTTGTCTTAGTGAACACGAAAGAAAATGGATATTTTCTTCAGTTTTAATTTATCGCCTTCCGTGACTCGTTTACTCGATAATGTTTCAATTTTGGGGTAATTTTCGAAACGATTGAAGTTGGTCGGTCAAAGCTATAAATTTTCACAATATAATAAGCTGATAATTCACAAAATACCGTATCCATCATTTTTAAAGTCCGTGTCTCCGGCTTTAGAGCACCCCGGCGTTGCCTTCCCCGGAGAGGGAGCTGGCGTTCGAGCGAAGGCGCCACCCCCGGCGGCGTGAAAGTCGCCGCATAAGCTTGGTCGACCAGACGTGTTTCTGATATCAGCGATACTAGTCGACCCAAAGCTTGGCACCCAAGTACGCCGCCACCACACGTTATCGGCGAGATTCCAGACCGTCTCCGGAATCTCGTCGCAAAAAACCGGGATGCAGACAGACAGACAGACATATGAACAAACAGACGGACAGACAGATGGAAGAGACCTATTTTTTCGTACTCTAGAGGTCATGAAACATCTCGCGGATTCTAACATTTCGGTACCAAGGGACTGATCTACTGCTACAGGGTATTCAGGACTGTTTGTGGAACAAAGAATAAGTAATAAAAAAAATTCTTCTGTCCAAACGTAGAATAAGAGCCCTTGAAACTTTAATCTTTTCGAAATTTCACGATATTTTAATGCACTATTTTGTGTTTGGTACCTGAAATCGATGAGATTTTCATTATTCAAAATAATTTTCTAGGTATCTTGTCTTAATTTATCGTATTCTTCATTTTATAATGTAACAAGAATCTTAAAAATTGTTTAGGATGCATCTGACAACAGTGGATAATTTTTCACGTTTTTTGATCCATCTATCTAAATCTACATTTTTCTCCAACCGTCATAAAAGCATGACGTTTTTTGACTGTCAGGGATCTCTAAGGTTAACGTTTTCTTTACTGAGATAATAAAAGACGGGATCCTAGAAACAAACAAGTCATTTTTTATCTTAGGAGCTAAAGTGTTACTTTTACTTTTAATGTTTGAAAATTTTCCATGACTACATCGAAATAGGCTACTTTATTTTCCAACGAATTTTTGGTTAATTTTAATTGTTCAAAAGCAAAAACGAAATAGTTTCGTGATTGCGGTTGGAGAAAAAATAGTATATATTATTCGGTTCTAAAGTGTCTTTTTTTGCCTCGCAATAATTGCTTTCGCTCGGCTACGCTTCGCTCCGCCTCGCAATAGAAATCATTGCTCGTCAAAAAAAGATACACTTTAGAACCTAATAATGTAATATACTATTTGTTTTTATAAGTGAGCGTCAAATTGAAGTAGGATTTTTTTATGATTTTTCTCGAACTTAGACTTGTGAACTTAACAATGTACCGTTGAGTTGATGCGGCATTTTTTGAACACCTGTATATATGAAAAACTATTTGTAAGCACGTACCTAGTATATTTTACGACATAGCTTTATTTCATTTATTGAGATGAGGTCTGAATAGAGGATGAATACCTAAATGTCAAATCCTGTTACTGTAACCTTTAATTAAATGTCATTTTTTTAGTAAAACTTAAAACAAATATTGTGTATGCCCTGAATCTTAAAGTGTACGTAAAATTTTAGATTAATCGGTATCATGGATCAAATATCCATTCTCTTCAAATTATTTTCAACATGAATTTACGACGACAAGGAAGAATGTCAAGAGGTTATTCGATGCTCAAAAGTTTTTCTAAACGTACATCGTACCCACGACTGTATGCCGCTATCACGTTGAAAGTCACCTTCTTTGTGGGGTTTGATCAAAAGCTTTTTGTATCAAACATCAAGCGCCGAAGTCTGTCTATTGTTCCTGATTCTTTCCGTAATTACAGCACTTTATAAAAGAAAAACAATTTAATTTCAAGATACAAACGGGGTTTGAATTAAAATTAAAATATTTTAGTTTGATACATTATTATTATTTTCCTGTTTCTCTTTTAGCCTCACTTTGGTGACAATTTTTTGTTGTACGTTTTTTTTTGTAACTAAAATAATCCTCTGTATTATATCCCATTCACTCGTCAACTTAAAACTTTTATCGTCCTAATAATATAAAATAAAGTTCATTTATTTGAAAATTTAACATTAACTTAATTTCAAGAGTTCGGTAGTTTTAAACTCAAGACAAAACTCTCCATTCTAAATAATCTTTAAATCTGTAGTTTACTGTTCTCAATAATAAGTTAAATATTTGTGTTTAACATTAAGCAAATTGATTTTTACCAGTAATTAATTCAGTCAGAAATCTTTTTCGTGTCCTCATTTTCCATACAACAAAGTTGAATGCTTAGTTATCAGTTGCGCCTTTCTGATTCGGAACAATTGGATTAGATTACCCGGAGTTTGAATGCTTCGTATCCCTTATTGTATTTGCCGAATATCACACACGATGCTCTACAATAGCAAAGCATGACCTGACTTGAGTGGCAAGTCTCTTATAGAATGGATTCTAGTTCATGAATAGTAATAGTGTGGGGGTAAATAAATCCTAGGTTTGGTTGAAATTATGCTTACCATACACACATGACGTAATAAGGAGTCCAACATACGAAGAAAACTAAGACGATAATGATGGTCATTTTCAAGGTGCGGACTTTGGCTTTTCCCAAAAAACCCAAACTTGATCTCGTCACGCCGTCAGCTGCAAAGAAAAACAAAATCAAAAACTATTTTTTCTACAATCGTGTAAAAAATGACTCATATGTCAATGGTTTAGAATGCAAAAAGTGGCACTTTCTTGCACTAGTGCAAGAAAAATTTTATTGCACTCTAATGTCAGTCTAAATAACGTCAAATTTTATTTATATCCATAATTTCTTTCACCGAAAGGGAAGCACGTATCATGGAATATTCGGACCAGAGGGTAGAAGACTTTACCTTCGTTGACCGATCGGAAAAATAAGCCAGAAGCACGGTGTCTGTTAACTGCACAACATTTTTGTCCGCATACAATTCTTTGAACCGGTTGTATGTCAGATAGATCAGATCATATTGTTTTGTGAGATTTCTCGGGCAATAAATTAAATATTGCAGCATTGGCCATTTCGGTAATTTCAGGGTTTGTTTCATTTTCGCTCGAATCGCTCATTTTGGGGTCAGCACGGTTCAAAACACTACTTATTTACGGCGTTTTATTGTGCAATTTGTTTTTTTTGGAAAGATTGTTTGGTTGTCATGGTAATCACCGGAATGGGTCTATTTGGCGCGGCCGACTTGGCGCGGCCAACTTGGCGCGGCCGACTTGGCGCGAGCCATTTTGGCGCAAAGCCAACTTGGCGCAGGGACACTTTGGCGCAAGCCATCTTGGCGCTAGCCATCTTGGCGCGAGTACGTCTGTATGTAATATAAAAAATCGTTATTGTTCGTACTGTGGTTGGCACCCCGTTATTTATGTCAAGTGTAGGGAACCAAATACACAATTTCATCCGCACAAATTCCAGTAACTAAATGATCCACGGAGCAAGAAGTTCCACGTTTAGGAGTATGTTTATAATGGGGTGCCGGACGCGAAGCGCCCGTGTGTCCATTAAAAAGTCGACATTACCCCTCCACGCGTTGGTGACTATAAAAATTAGGTTATGCTAACAACGGATGCAATTTTTGTATATTTATATCTATTTTTCTTGGTGCGAGTTCATTCGCGCCAAGATGGCCCGCGCCAAGATGGCTTGCGCCAAAGTGTCCCTGCGCCAAGTTGGCTTTGCGCCAAAATGTCTCGCGCCAAGTCGGCCGCGCCAAGTTGGCCGCGCCAAGTCGGCCGCGCCGAATTGTCCTAGACCGGGTAATCACGGCTACATAAGACGGCATGATGATACCTTTTAGACGTTGTAAAATTTTATTTAAGTCTCCAATAAAACTGGTGCATTATACCCACGATTGTAGAAAAAATGTTGTATGCAACACGTGCAAAAGTGTTCTTGCACTTGACGTATTGTCCGACTCGACCTTTGGTCTCGTCGGACAATTGTTACGTCGCATGCAATAATCAGTCACTTTTTGCACTTGTTGCATAAATAACTATTTAATTAGAAATTATTACCATTAATAAAATGCATATTTCAAATGTTTGTTCGTACATATGGAACTAGGTCAAATATTTTCTGTAAAAGTTTTCCCATTCTACATTCTTACCGCAGTGAGAATGTCAACTGCTAACGACCACTGTCCTTAATTTTGAAACTTTAATTACAGACCTACATCACCCGTGGAGACAATTTCGCAGAAATCAAATTTCAGCCTAGAGACAAACTCTGCTTCTCACTGAAGTAACAGTAATATTTTTTTCTCTTCATGGAAGAATGCATATGTGTGCGGCAATTTATCATTTTTAATAGGTTTATTGATCGAACTGACATCGGGTTTAAAACGCAATTTTCAAAAGTTTTTCAACTTCGATGAGTATGAAATGAATGTGAAGAAGTTGCTAAGTAATCAGTCACGGGAAGAGAGTGGAGAACAAATCGGATTTAACTTTGACTCGTGCTTTGCCCATTAAATTTATGAGAGAAACACTTGTTAATACGGATTAAACTTGAGATCAGCAATTTTAGTTGTTTCGAAGTCTTACGTACAATTGAAAGCTCATTTTCTTGATTTAAATAGACATCTTTAAGGACGTTCTAACAAATTTCATTGTCGTAAATTAGATGCTTCATTTTATTTATTTGCTGAAAGAGAACATCGATCACATCCTTCGTCTTGTGCGTTCCAAGCTTGATAAATTGTAGTAATACCACATTCAGACTTAATAAGTTTCAAGCACCAAGAACATAAAGGACACTTGATGATTAAGTGACTGACTAATGCGCTTATATGGTGTGACATATTTGCGAGAAATGTCGCAAAATAAATGTCTGTGGGTTGTGAGAAATTTTGGAATAATCCATGTAAGTGTCTTGTCGACTTTTAATTTTGTTTTATTTTTATCAAAAGACTTTTGCTTGTAAATATTTTATTACATCGTATAGAATGACTTTTTATCATAATTGATTCTCTGATTTTGTATTACAACAAAACTTATAATCAAAAAGTTGGAACTGGTTTACTGTTAATTATATAGAACCTCCCTCGCATCTGAAGCACAATCCGTGCATATTATAGCTTCTTTTTAATAAAAATGTATTTATTTTAATTTGTTTTGTATGGATAAACGTATTAATTTCAGTTAGTGCAATTTAAATTTAATACTATCAGCATCAGTATGTTATGAGAATTTCGGACAAATTATCTGATCTTTTTTAAAATAACCAGAAATATATACAAAAGTGCAAGAACGTGCATGTCGAAGCACATTTTTCAAGAAGCAATTTATTTAATAATTATTTTTAGGACGTTATAAACTTTCTAGGAAGCATGAAAAAACAAATGTATTTTCAAATGTCATATAATTGACATTTATAGGACGTTGTTGCCGGAGTTTAAGTCTCATTTTTATGACGTGTTTAAAAGAAACCCATACGCCGCCCCGGTTCGACGCCTATGGGTTCTAGTATGTACGGCGATGATTACTCATTGTAGGTGACGCCGGCCAGAGAAGAGCCTGGAAGCTGATGTCGGGAGGCATAAATAACACCCCTGACCTTCAGCAGTTGGTAATAGCAATCTGAAGTTCACATGTTTATACATCGAAAGAATGTCACGGAGAAAATAGTTTGACTTGAATGAATTTTTCTTCTCAAAACAGGACAAAAATTATTAATTAAACCACAATCGAACAAAATCTTCTGAGTATTATAATTCTTATTTTCACATTATTATAAAGACGTGCCTAAGAATTTGTTCTTAATTTGATTAATAAAAAATTTGTCATGACATCATCAACATGGATAATTCTAGTCGCACCATAAAAGAAAAGTAGTCACAGCGTTATACGAATGCAAGAAAAAAAAATTGGTCTAAAGAGTTTAGACAGTACTTCCCTCGCTGTCGGAAACTTGACGACTGCATGCCTATTGTGTTTTTTTTCTCATTACATTTTTGTAGTGGGAATTTAGAAAAAAATTGCGATGACGTCATCAACATTTTTGCAAGGACACGTATATCAGTTGGGATAGATTTGTGTAATACTAAGAATAAAATTATTGTATTCCCAAATTTTCGAGAAAATGAATTGGATCGTTTTGAATATTGATTTGTTATAATCAATAAAATAACGAAACAATTTACTCACGTATACGGCGCCGGCGTGTAATATGAGAGGGAACTGAAAATCGTGTATGTATAAGCATTCTTAATTTGAGATGACAAGCGTAACAGCATACGTGAGAGTCAAACAGAGAAACTGTAAACAAAACGACCATCGGTTTTATTGCTTCGACTTCCGCTTATTATATAAATCATTGGGTTTTATTTTAATTTTTGACGGTGGAATTCACAATTGGTTGATTACAAACATGTCTACTCCACATTCGCGGAACCTAGTCAGCGCATAAAATAAATGCACTGTAATGTTAAAGTCGATGTAAATAAGCGTGCTACCCTTATGTTTCAACCGAGTTTTTACTTTAAAAAATTTTGTGTCTACCAAATTGGGTTGGTTCAATGTAATACTAATAATAAGTGTTGCCTTTAATTTAATCAATAAAATAAATTGACTTCATTAATTTTTTTTGAGCCACCTCTTAAGAAAATCTTAAAAATATGAATGGAATGATAGATAAATCACAAGTACAAACTCATCATATTTTTTGCATTTTAGATAGGATTTATTCAGCAAAATTTTGGAGTGACGTCATAAATTTTTTAGGAGGGACGACCAAATACATTTAGATCAAAAATTTACCATGCTTATGATAATTTTAAAACATCTTCAAGATTTCAAAGCATTCGGTTTTGTAGTTCCTGAGTAAATCAGTAAAATAAATTTTGCGCATTCATTAATTTTTTTGAGTCACCCTGTATATGCAAATCCAAAAAATATGAATGTAGTGATATATCACAAGTACAGACGCATCATATTTTGTACATTTTAGATACTATTTATTCGGCAAACTTTTGAGCTGACGTCATCAAGTTTTTGGAGGGGATAACCAAATATATTTTGACTAAAGACTTATGATGCCTTTTATAGCCTTAAAACATCTGCAACATTTCAAAACATTTGGGTTAGCAGATTAAAATTAAATTGCAAAATGTTGTTTCATAATTTTGATTTTTTTTTTCAAAAATCTGGACGTTTCGGGTAAAAACTGAATTCGGAGTCGTAAACTACATGTGTAGGACTATGTTATTTTATACAATTTAAGACCCATTTACTATGTACAATTTTGAAGTGACGTCATCGCATTAGTGGTGGGGATGATTAGACAAATTTTGGTTAGCGTTTTACCATCTACATGATATTCCTAATATAAGTACAAAATTTCACATCAATCGGTCCAGTACTTTCGGAGATTAACTGTCTAATAAAAATCCGGGACGGCAGACAGACGGACAGACGGACGGACAGACGGATAGACAGACGGAAATGGGAGACCTATTTCTTCGTATTCTAGGGGTCATGAAAGATCGAGAAAACGTAAAAGTAGAGAGTCGGCCGACGGACTCGATTACAATACTTCCTTTGCTTACGCTCGGAAAGTAAAAATGGAATGCTATTCCGATTTGAGATTTTTCCATGTGCAACTTTTCGTTTCAGTTTTC